TTACTTACCGTACAAATCAGAGGACTAGCAAATCCCTGATTTGCTTTGCACTCTCAAACCTCACCCCATCCTTAGAACTGCCTCTCTCCAAGCCTCTGCTCGTTGAAATTCTTCTCTTCTTCCAAGGCTCAGCTCAGCTACCTTCTATTCCTTGAAACCTTCTCTGAGTGAGACCCTCTTACACATAAAAGTGATCTCTCTTCCAATTTTCCCCTAGTGTTTTCTCTGTATATCTCCTTTACCATCTTATATCTACTTTGTGTCATACTCATGTATGTACATATCAGTCTCCCTATTAGATAGTGAACTCCTTACGGGCAGAGATTTTCCCCCCAAAATCTTTGTATTCCCAGTATCCAACACAGTGTTATTCACATAGTTAATAATTTTTTAATCAAAATAAATGAAAATTCTGTGATTTCTCTTTCAACCATTACAACAACATGTGAAATTAGGAAGAGGACACACTCTTAACTTAATTCACTTCTACAGGGGTATGTCATTCATTCAACAAGCATTTATTTATTACCCACTCTGTGCCAGTTATGATGCCAAGATGGGCTTACAAAGACAAAAATGAAGGAATCTCTGTTCCTCAAGGAGCTTACATTCTACTGGTGGGAAACAACACGTACATAAAAAAGTAAACACAAAATATATACGAAGTATTGTGGAGGGTGTGGAGGAGATGGTAAGATGGCTGCTATGGGGAGGGGAATTAGGAGAGGCCTCATGTATAAAAGAGGCAGCAGCTTGGTAGTGCTGGGTCTGGAGTCAGGAAGACCTGAGTTCAAATGTGACCTCAAATACTTCCTACCAGTGTGACTTGAAGCAGGTCATTTAACTTCTGTTTGCCTCAGTTTCCTCATCTGTAAAATGAATTGGAGAAGGAAATGGCAAACCTCTCCAATATCTCTGCCAAGAAAACCCCAAATGGGGTCACAAAAAGTAAGACAGGACTGAAACTACTGAACAGCAACACTTGAATGTAAGTACTTTGTGGGCAGGGACTGTCTTTGCTTTTGTGTTTTTATCTTCAGAGCCTAGTACATAGTAAGTGCTTAATAAATACCTTTTTTATTTATTGAAGGATAGGCCTCAAGCCAAATTGTAGAGTGTCTCAAAAGCAAGGCTGAGAAGTTTTATGTAGATCATAGAATATTAGGGCTAGAACAGACCTTACAGATCATCATCTAATCTAACTCCCTTTTATAGATGAAAATATTATAGATGAAATGAGAGCATAAAGGTTGAACAAGTGACTTAGGGCTATTAAGAGAGTTTGTAACAGAGCAAAGCTTAGAAATAAGGTCTGGGGCAGCTAGGTGGCTCAGTGAATAAAGCACTGGCCCTGGGGTCAGGAGGACCTGAGTTCAAATGCGGACTCAGACACATAACACTCACTAGCAGTGTGACTTTGGGCAAGTCACTTAACCCCATTGCCTAGCAAAGAAACAAAAAAGAAAGAAATAAGGCCTCCTAGATCCCAATCCAGTGTTTTTTACAAGCACACCAAAAACTTTTAAACAAAATGCTATAAAAGTCCAAGTTATTAGGAAATCTGGAATGCTCTACCTCCACATCTCCACCTCCTAGCTTCCCAGGCTTCCTTCAAGTACCAAAAAAATCAGAAGCCTTTTCCTAGCTGCTCTTAACTCTTGTACCTTCCCTCTGTTAATAATTTTATATCTACCCTGTGTATAGATTGGACATATTTGTTAGCTTGTTGTTTCCTTCATTTCGATTTTGAGCTCCTTGAGGGCAAGGATTGTCTTTTGCTTCTGTTTCTATAATCAGTGCTTAGTGTAATGCTGGCACATAGTATGTGTTTAATAAATACTTGTTCTTGGCACACAGTGGGTGTTTAATAAATGCTTGTTGATTGATTGAAACTCATACTAGATTACTTGTAAGAATAAGAACTGGGAGCCCTGGAACCAGGACTGACTTTTAGGGACAGGTCGGTCCAATCATCTTACCGATTACTAATAAAGGTTGGTTATCTCTAACTTCCCTAAGTAGTGGGAATAGACTTGCTTTCATCCAAAAGTCGAAGTTCTATCTTATTATTTATTTGTCTTTCTCTCCTAATTATATCTGCAGTTATTCTTCTCTGCCTCTTTCAGTCTATCTCTGTTCCTATGTGTCCTTTCTTCATCTGTCTATGTGCTTGTTTTCCTCTATTTCCTATCTCTGAATATCTTCACTGTCCCCCCCTCCCCTCTTCATCTTTCTGTCTATCTCTTGGTCTCTCTGTCTCTGTCTCTCTCTGTCTCTCTGTCTCTCTCTTTGTCTCTCTCTCTCTCTCTCTCCTTCTCTCACCCTCTTTCTTTCTCCTCTCCCCCCCAGGCTTTCTCTTTTTCTGTCTCTCTCTCCCTCATCTTCTCCCTTTTCCTCCTTTTCCTCTTTCTCCTCCTTCTTTCTTCTCCTCCTCCTTCTTCTTCTTCTTCTCGTTCTTCTTCTCCTTCTTCTTCTTCTTCTCCTTCTCCTCCTTCTCCTTCTCCTTTGCCTTCGCCTTCTCCTCCTCCTCCTCCTTTTCCTCCTTTTCTCTGTCTCTTTCTGTCTGTCTCTCTTTTTTTCTCCCTCTCTTTTCCCTTTCCCCTGCTACTTACCACCTCCTTCCCTCCCTCTCACACACAAAAACAGAGCCCCAAACTAGACATTTTTCCTTTCCTCCCAATGCTCGTTTGGTCACAAATGCACACTCTTATTCCCTCCTATGTTCCATGCAGGAGTTTAACCCCTACCCACAGACCACTACTTAAGCAGGCAGAAATGGCATAGGACAGGACAAACCACAGGATGAAATCTGCGTCTCTGTACTCCAGTGGTTCCCTCCTTGTTAGACGATTAGCAGTGTTTATAGATTGAAGGGATTTTCATCTCAAACCTAACATTTGAAAGTCATGACTGTTAAATGAAGTTTATCCTGTTTAATCACTTTTCCAGCAGTCTCCACCAACACCAGATTAGTCTTCCATTTAATAAGATGCTCCCTTGGCATCTCTCCCAAACTCAGAAGGGCCTTACCTTGCCTTGCTATGGGTAAGCAGAGAAGCTAGCAGCTTAGCCCAAAGCCACCTCCTTTTTTATATTTTATATTTATTTTGAGAAAACCGGTTTGACAATATTTGGTTGCAAACCTCAGAACAACTTTATGCAGTGGAAAAGGTGCCTAGATGAGAGAAGGTGGAGTGGTTTCTGGCTGGATAACTTGATACAAGATGAACGGAGTTGTTCCAAAATTCACACATGCATGCATGTGAATATACATATATGTGTGTATACACACACGTAATCATAGACATATAGACTTTTTCATACACAAAAACAGTATGCTATGTAATGAAGAATCACTGGGTTCAGGGTCAGAAGATGTGGTTACAGTTCTCAGTTTTACCTCTTCTTATCTGTATGACAAGTCACTTTACCTCTCTGAGCCTCAGTTTCCCCAGCTGTAAAATGAGAGGGTTAGAGAAGATGATTTCTAAAGTTGCTTCCAGCCCTAATCCTTTGAAACATTTGTTGAAATGCTCACAGAGACACACATACACATTGCACATAATATCCCAGGGACAGACAGCCCTACAATAATAAATAAGCACACTGTCAGATCAGTTATACCTGCATAACTAGGTATGATGGTCCTAAGCAGACACATGGAATAAGTATGAAGATTCAGACTACCAGAGGGCAGTTTGTCCAGGGCCCTATAGTGCAATCTGTACCTGCTAGACTTTTCCAGAGGTAAGCAAAGGAGTCAAAGCAGTCAAAACCCTTGGGAACTCTGCCTAGTGCCTGATTAAATGTCATAGGCAGCCTGCTTTGGGGGGGGGGGGCGGGAATGGCCTTCCCACCCTTCATACAAAGGAACAAACCCCAGCTGTATTTTTTGGCACTCTAACAGAAGTGTCTAATAGGCTGCCTGAGACACACTCTTGCTGAGGAGCCAAATTAAAATGTAATCAGGAAATATTTAACGAAATAAATGAAAGTACAACAGAAGGTAGATGATGTTAATATGTGGTTTTCCAAGTCAATATGTGACCTGCAGGGATCCTTTATGTATGGTTTAGTGGCCCCTGTTTCTCCTGGAATTTGACACCAGTGCTCTATAACAAAAATAAATTCAGTCATTTCTCAGTTATCTGCCTATGGATTATCTATTCTGAACTTTATACATACAACTGTTTATCAGCAAATTGTTTGCTACCTGTTGCTGGCCTCTGAAGCATGGGCAGAGTTGCTGACCACTGGCATGGGGCAACAAAAGACCTCCCCTTTTCTCTACCCAAAATACCTACCCCTGCTACCTGCACATTAATTCTTGAAATGCCTTTTGGAAGAAATAAAACCTTTTTTCATTATTCATAGGATCATAGATTTAGAACTGGCAGGGACCTAAAGGGTCATTAGTCTAATCACCTCATTTTACAAATGAAGGAACAGAGGCCCCAGAGAAGTTAAGTGACTTAACCCAGGGTCACATAGCTAATGAGTGGCATATTATTGAAAATCCCAGGACTTTTGTCTGAAGTCCAGCACACCACACAGGCTTTCATTTCATTCAGCAATGAGAATTGAAGCTTCAAATGCAAAACTCCCTCGCAAAGGGAATACAGGGAACACACGAATTCCCACTGAGACATAAATAATAGAGACCAGGAATTTTCCTTGGGGAGAAGGACCTCAGAGTGGGTGAAAGGGCAGAAAGAGAGAAGATGAAGAGAATGGTTGCAGGATTAGATTTGCCAGACCCTCAAGCCCTACACCATTCTCAGCAGGAGTTTGGGGCTCGATGCTAACAGGGTCACTGTCTAAGATGCCATGAGCTACTACTGCAGAGTTTCCATAAAGAGGAGCTTCACCTGAAAAGGGTGTAACTATTTCTTCTCAGGTGTGCTGTCGCAGTCGTTCCAACTTCCAAGGAAAAGTATTGGTGAGCTCGTCTAATTAATGCTCTGCTATCTCTTCTGTGTGTGTGTGTGTGTGTACTGTAGGTCAGCACTTATTACAACACATCTGGATCCTTGGGACACTCTGCCGCGATTGTTAACCTTCCCTGTTCCCAGCAGCACATATCAGCTAACATGTGAGTATGAATATAAAATCCTTTGTTTCTTGGGCAAGAAAGGACCTGGACGGATGAACCACACCATGTCCACCTTAGCTTTTCCAAGGATCCTAATAACAATAGTAACAGCCATTTCCACTTCAAGTGCAATGCTCTCAAACTATCCCAGAAAATAACTTGGAAGGGGCAGCATGGTACAATGGGAAAAGTGCTAGATTTTAATTGAGAGGTCTCAGGTTGGTATCTTGACTCCACTACTTATTATTTGAGTTATCTTAGGCAAGCCACTTAACCCTCTCAGGGCCTCAGTTTCCTCATTTATAAAATGAGGGGGTTGTTATAGATTACCTTTGTGGTCCTTTCCAGTTCAAGTTCTGAGGTGCTATAGACTCTAAGTATAAAGATAAGTGTATCTTTAAAATCCCCAGTATTTCATTGCACAGCCTCCCTTACTAGCATTTTACCGTGTCACTTAACCAGGGGTGTGCTGGTAAGTGTTTAACAATCAGCTTTCCTTTATTAAAAAATGTACAACACATCTTTAGATTTAATTTACATTATTAACATTTTCTCCATCACTTCCTTAAGTCTAACCAATAAACAAAACAATAGCAAGCAAACAAAACAAGCCCTGATTTATAGCACATGTGATTTCTGAGGTGTGAATGCTCACACTGAACATTTAACAATCAGCTATCACAAGCCATTTCAAGCTGGCTCCAGCACACATAAAATCAAGACTCTCTTTCTAATGTCCCTCTCTCAAGGCAAGGATCAGATTGAGGAACATTTTGTCAGGTAATTTGTAGAGGCCATCTTTTTTCAAATACAGAAATTAACTTGGTATAATAGAAAGATAAGGATTATGACCTGGTGTGGCCTTAGGCAAATCACTTGAACTCCCTGGGCCCAGTCTCCTAATCTATACAATGAAATGATTGAATTAGGTGTCCTTTGTGGTTCTGTTCAGCTTTTAGATCTCTATGACCCTTTGAGCTTTTGAGGTTCTTTCCAATTTTGAGATTCCCTAATTCTAAATCCTTTTTTGACGTGGTATAAATCCATTCCCTTTTGTCCTGTCCTCTGTGCAGATGGAGAATAATATAAAAAATGATATTAACTCACATAAGTCTATGCCTCTTTCCGGTATACAAAACACTTTCTTTACAACATCCTTGTGAGATAGAGGTGATGCAGGTAATATGGAGAATGTCATTGTTCACCCTGTTCTTAGACCTAAAAAAGTGTAGGTCTTCTCTTTTCTATTCTCTGTCAACCTAGTTCCTTTGGCCTTTCCTCTTAAGAAAAAAGTGCATTCACTGTTATAGAAGGAGTCAAACAGGGAATCTTTCTTCTGACCTCTGCTTGGATGCCAGGTCCCATAACCTCACCCAAGATGATCCTTGATCATCATTTTGGGGGGACAGAGGATAAGTTCCACCAAGCAGGCTTCACTGTCTCCATTCTCCTCACCAGGGTTCCTCTCTTTCCCCAGGTTTGTTGCTCTGCATTCTTATTCAGCCCATGGACCAGATGAATTAGATCTTCAAAAAGGAGAAGGCATCCGGGTCCTTGGAAAGTACCATGAAGGCTGGCTTAAGGGTGTGTCCTTGGTCACTGGAAGAGTTGGGATCTTCCCAAACAACTATGTTGTTCCTATTTTCAGGTATGTTTCATTATGGTCATAGATGTGGGGAAGTCAAGATCAGTCTACTCCAGTGACCTGATGATGATGGAGCTAACAGTCCTCCATGTCATGGGCCAGCAACTTCCGTCTCAAAAACTTCCTCTATTAATTAATTATGTGGTTTATTAAGTAATGGATCCATCAATTACATATTTATTAAGTACCTACTATGTTCAGGACGCTATTTAGCATTAGAGTACAAAAGTAAAAAATAGTAAGTAACACAGTCTATGTCTTCATAGTGTTTTAGCCTTTAATTGGAGGAGGTCCCAAACAAGTATAAGGTAGAGTGTGATAGAGGCAAAGGAAAGAAGCGGATAAAAGTTATGTAACCCGAGATATCATAGAGTTATAGATTTAGAGCTGAAAGGGCCTTAGGGGTCATTTAGTCCAATCCCTTTATTTTACAGTTAATGACACTAAAGATCAGAAAGTTTAAATGACTTGTCCAAAGTCACTGATAATATGTTACTAGAAGTAGAGCTGGGATCCATCCTCAGGTCCTTTGACTCCAAATCCAGCATTTTTTTCCCACTGTATCACATTTCATGCCTCATCTAATGTGGTTAAGCATCATGGAAATTTTCCAGTGGAAAAAAAAATAAAGTAATAGCTGACATTTATATGACATTTAAAGGTTCACCAAGCACTTTATATAGGTTATTTGAGCCTCATGACAACTCTACTGAGGTAAATACTATAGGTATTAATTCCCATTTCACAGATAAAGAAACTGAAGCTCAGAGAAGTCAAATAATGATTATAATTAGAGTTATGATAATTATCATATTATACATATTATACATATCAAGTAATGATAATCACATAGTTCATAAGTGTGGGAAGTGGGATTTATAGTCCAGTCTTCCTGACTCAAGCTATACCACACTGCTTCCCCCAAAACACATCAAGAAATTTCCCAGGATACAAGGGCACTAGCTAGAGTTTCCAGAAATTCACACCACTCCTTATCCTTCTATGTCAATTAAAAAAAAAAAAAAGATTCTGTCTCCCAAGTCTTCCTCTGGGGATATCCCATTATAATAATTCTTTTTTCAGCCTGTAACACAGGCACAAACTTCATTGATCCAGCCACCTGGCCATCTAAATATAGGGGGACTGATCAGGGGAATTCTCTAATTAAGCTGATGAGCTTACAGGGACAACTGAGCTTTTGTTTAGGACTTCTTTGCATCTCCCTATGAAAGGTTTGGGCATGCCCACTGTCAGCTTCGTGAAGAGGATTAAGAACCTCTCCTGGGCATAAGGGGTGATCGGACAGGCTCTGCTGGCTGTGTACACACACAAATACACACCATCTCCTTCTCTGACTCTGTTTTCCCTCTCCCAAGAATCCCAATTCTTTTACTCTTCAGAACTTCAGTCAAAAAAAAAACTGGCAGAGAGTAAGGAGGCACCCCTAAGGCACCCTAACAAAGATTTCTTAATGACCTATCACAAGGTCACACCTTCCCAGGAAGAAATAATCCTACTGTCCTCTGTTCCCTTGCCAGATCACCTATTAGAATACTGGGTTCAAAAGTTTAGGGGGCCAGAGGCTGGGAGGGAGCACATTTGGAGAAGAACAAATATGGTGGTAAGGGGAGAGGGACCTGAAAATCATGTCAAAGATGAGGAAAGTTGGAGAAACTAGAGGTGTTTGGGGGAAAACATGAACTCTGCTTTCAAATACTCAAGGCTTGTCATTTGAGAGAGGAAATTAGACTTGTCCTATGTGGCTCCAGAGGGCAGAATTCTAGGACCAAGAGAAAGTTGAAATACAGCAAGGCAAATTTTAGCTTGATATAAAGTGTACTCTCTAAAGTTGTCCGACAGTGAGTTGGACTTCTTTGTGAGGTAATGAGCTGAAAATATGTAGAGAGGCTGAATTGGCTGACCACTGTCAAAGATGGTGTGGAGGTGACAGGGGAAAGGGAGAGTCCCTTGCAAGAAGTGAAAGATTCAGCTCGACTTTTATGGTGAAGATTCAAATAATCTATCATCTCAATAACTGAGAACACCAAAGGAAGACCTAATTGCTGTAGCACATGGCTGAAAAGCTAACAAACAGCTGAATTTGTCCTGAACTCCCTCTAATAGGTGGGTACTTAAAGCTAAGGTGTTAGTTTACATTTTGACATCAACCCAAGATCCTTGTTATGTCAGCAAAGACCCACAGGTGCCAGAGGCAAGATTCAATTCCAATTAACTAAGAGGTGTTTGGGATTTCTTTCATGCTTTTTTGGCTTTCCTCCTATGTAGGGCTGTTGTTGTTGTTTTAGGCATTTATTGAATTTAGCCTCCAGAAATGACTGTATGTCAGGAGGAGATAAAGGGGAGTTTCAGCTCCACAAAGATCTAATAAACCACTTTGAAGCTTATAAAAGTCTTGCTTCCAACCTGTAAATGACAGTTATCATTGTCCTGGGTTTTTAGAGATGTTGCTGCTGTAACCACTGTTTTTTCACTGTGGGCATGAGTGGGTAAGAAGACCAAGGCATGATCCTCAAATCCCTTCCAGGATAAAGTGAGTTTGGAGCCTGTTCTCTGGGTAATTGGAGCACCAGCTGTTTTCCAGGTGTTAGACATGTTGGTGCTTCACCTAAGCTGCCTAAATGCAGAATGAGCCACCTTGGCTCAATATCTTGAGCATGGATAACAGATGCCAAGTTTTCCCATCTGGACCACAGACAATATCTGCCCTTAACTAATCTTTGCAATGTGGAAAGAAAGGTCAGTTCCTCTCACTCCTCAGAGCTTAAAAATGCCATCCTTCATTTATAAAGATGTCTATATTCATCCCCTGCGAGCCCATACATAGTTTGAGTTGAATAGATTGGATTGTGTTTTTCCAAGATCAAGGAAAGCTTTACATGTATCCATCTGTGCCCTTGCTCAGCCTTTTTTTGTGATCAAAGACAGGAATTTATTAACAGGCTGACCAGGATTAAGAGTCTCTGGCCATAGACTTAACAAAGATAACTAGTAAACATATAGGGCAGTGTTGACCTCAATCCCATAGAAACTGCAGATTCTCAGGATTTACTGCAAGCAGGATTTCACAGAAACTAAAAGGTATGGCAGAGGTGGGGACCACATGTGGTCCTCTCGGTCCTTTTGACCAGTCCAAATTTTACAGAACAAATCCTTTTATTAAGGGGATTTGTTCTATGAAGATTGGATTCAATTAAAGGACTGCACTTAAGGTCTTAGAGGGCCACGTATGGCCTCAAGGTCACAGGTTCCCCACCCCTGAGGGGTCTTAGGTGTTAATACAGTGGGCAGAATGGGCTGGAAATGATTCTCTTATCTGGCAGAGTCAAAGACATAGGACCAGTTTGCAAGCTACAGTTTGCTGCTATAGTCCTCAGTTTCCTTATCTGTAAAATGAAGAGGTTAAACTGGATGATCTTCAAGATCCCTTCCAGCTCCAACATTCTATAGTCTATGATTTATGTTTCTGTGGTCAGACAGTGGAATGTTTGGATATTATCCATTTTCCATGCCAGGGCTATGTCTCTAGCTAAGCCACTACCTCCCCAGTTACTAAGGCTACTTTTTCCCTGTCTGTCCTCCTAATACTTATTGGCTTATGTCCAGGCGAAACAGGTGGGTGCTGTTCTCCTATGCTTAGTATTGAATAAGCAATATAAAAAAAATTTGCCAGTGTCTGACCATCCCTATCCCTTCTGGTCCCATCTATGGGGAATACCAGAACAAAGGTCACGCCTGGTGCAGTAATATCTTTGGCATTTCTTCTGTCTGATGGACAAAGCACAGAACTGTTGCTGTCTTTAGGCAGAGAATTGGGAGGTGCTGTGGTCCGAGTTCATAGGCAACTACACACTTGGGGCAAAGAGAACAAACCCGACATTCCAGGAACTACAAAATGTCCTTGTGCAAGGGATCATCCTGCTTTGCCTATAACCTCACCATCTGCAAAACAAGGATCATACATAGTAACCTGCCTGTCTGGGGTGCTTTGGGTATTAATTAATAAATAAATGCAAAATGCTTTCATAATTTTTTTTCTTAAACACTGGATAAGTTCAGAATAGTAGGATAATGAAGTGGTTTGTTTGCTGAAATACATAGAAGCAATTGGCACTAGCCATGGGACCAGGTCTTCAAGAATTCCTAGTGCCTGGGCCAATCCTGAGCTCAGAAAAATGAGACCACACCCTAAGAGCAATACTCAAGCAATGAAGGGACAGGTTGAACTATCCTGGAACTGGCTAATTAATTGTGTATAGTCTTTGTGTTGAATCAGCCTTTGCTATTTCCCTCTCCAGTCTGCCAATTCATTTTTCAGTCATGGAAACTAGGTGGTTCAGTGTATAGAGTGTGCCGGCTATGCCGTGCACTCTCCTCCTATAAGGAGCAGGCTGCCAGAGTCATACTTACCAGTCTTCGGGTACTACCCAGATAAACACACAGAGATGAGCCAAACAGGAGGTGCCAACACCCAAGCTTTATTCAGAGGCCATCACAGCAAGGCCAAGCAGGAAGGCCATAGCAAGAGAGCAGGAGCAAAGAGAGCGCTGCTTGGACCAGGACTGTTCCTTAAGTACCTACTTAGCCCCTCCTCCTCAGCCCGCCTACTAGTCAATGATTGTAGGGTCAGATACTGGAAGGGGATGTCTGAGTTTAGCGCACCAAGGGAGAGGAAGTGATGCAGGAGGCTAGGACCGGATACAGGAAGGAGGCGTCTGGGATTAGCGCATAGACAAAGAGAGAGCACATGACCTAGGAAGTCAGGCCCAGATACCGGGAGGAGGCGTCTGGGGTTGACATTGCATTTAGGGAGGGGACTAAGCAAAGGGAACTCGTCCTCTGCCGTCCCACTCCCATGTGGCACAGCCCCCTGCCTCATGAGCACGAGCTCCAGCTACTTCCTTGTATTCTGTTCCTTCCCCAGCTTCATAGCACTGCCCACTGCCTCAGGAGCGTGAGCTCCGGTTACCTCTCCGTATCCAGCCCATCCCAATTCACCACAACTCCGCCTACCACAGCCCCTGCCTCGGGAGCGTGAGCTCCGGTTACTTCCTAATACCCAGTTCCTACCCCATCTTGCCACAACCTGCACTTGGCAGTAGCCAACATCAGACAGTCCCTCACAATAGAGCACTGTGCCTGGAGCCAGGAAGAACTGAGTTCACATCCAGCTTCAGACACTTCCAAGCTGTGTGACCATGGGCAAGTCACTTAACCTCTGATTTGTCTCTGTTTCCTCACCTATAAAATGAGAATGATAATAACAGCACCTACCATCCAGGGTTTTTGTGAGAATCAAATAGAATAATAATTGTACAAGTGCTTAGCACAATACCTGGCATATCCAGAAAGCACTATGTAAATATTAGCTATTATTTATTATTGTGTCAAAAACATTTGACTCCTTAATCCTGATGGCCTAGCACAGTACCCTGCTTGGCTTGGCAGTGGTGTTACTGCTCAAGCTCTGGTGATTTCTCTTGCTCTCCCCCACATCACATCTATAAATCTCCATGATGTAGCCTGACCTCCAATCATCAGATAGCCCTGAACCTTTTTCCTCACTAATAAGCCCAGTCAGTGAAACAACAACCAGTTTGAAGATCACTGAAAAAGAAAGTCCCCCTTGGCCCCAGGCATTAGTTTCTGTACTTAGTTGTGCATCCATTGTAGGAAGCACTGCCCACAGTGAAGTGATGCCTCAGTTACCTTGGTAAAAACACTGACCCTTTATTAAACTATAAATCACCCTCTTAAGTAAAAGAAAAAGAACGAATCCCAGAAAAGAAAACTGGGAAGTCCTTTGAAAGAGTTTATCATTGCCAGCCTTGGTAGACTTTATTCCTAGTGAATTACCAGAGGTAATTTAATCAGCAGTGACAAATTGAATGATGAGACTACTTGGGGGAAGGCTTCCTGTTGGGTCAGAGTTAGGTTAAAGAGTGCACAGCCTTCCCCAGCAAACAGAGGAACCAGGACCTGGCCCAGAGTGACAACAGCCTGTATTCAGGGTTCAGCAGACACAATGACACTGAAGTAGCCTGACAGCCTTTGGTGGTTTTCTGACCATTCTCCACTGGCTGAAAACTTGGAGCCTAAAGGGAGAGTGTTTGAGACCCAGTGGGGGCTTTGGTTGGATCTGAAATAGAAAACAAAGTCAACCATAGTATAGAGACTTATATCATACAGTGGTTTGATGAGATGTTGGTGCTCAAGACTGCCAAACACATGTGGCATTCAAGTCACTGTACCCCAGTATTGTCCATTCTCTTAGCAATTCCATAAATGCATAGGTGCTATTATAACCTCAGTTTTTCAAGACAGAAGAAACTAGGGATCAGAAATTTTGAATAACTTACCCTGGGCTGCACAGATAGTATCAGGGATGGGGTTTTCATTAACAAGTGGAAATCCCTACCTTCAAGGAACTTCACTTATTCAGCCAACGTACATTTATTAAAAGCCTGATGAGTGTATGAAAAACACTGTGGCAGGATGGATCTAGATTGCTGCTTAGAATCAGGACAATGTGAGTTCAAGTTCCATCTTTGACACATAGTGGATGTGTAACCCTGGGCAAGACTCTTCAGTGCCCTAGGCCGGTGCTCTCCAAACTGAAGTCCTTTGCCTGATCAACCAAGGTGGGTGTGTGATCAGTCAAGAGTGGGGAAATGAATTGAATGGATCACATGCCACCTTCCTTGTTATGGTCAATTTGGGGGCTTATCTCCAAAATAAAAAATGTGTCTACCTTTATATCCCAACACTACCCAACTCAGCCCCATTTTTTCTGTTATTACAAACTCCTACCAATATCTCCTGCCTTCTAAGGAAGATGTCTGTAACTTGTACCACACAGCAACAGATGTACACATGCCATTGAGAAAATTTCACCCCTCCCCTTTTCCACATACTCATTCACTGTCACCTCATGGCTGTAGTAGGTACCCCTCAGAGGAGAAAGGTCTGTAAGAGCCCTCCACTCCCCACTCTTTTCATTTTGGGTGGAACAGAGTAAATCACAGAATGAAAAGGCATGGATGAATTGTGTTTTGCACTGAAAATTTGTTGTTGTTCAGTTGTGTGCAATTCTTCGTGACCTCATAGACCATAACACACTAATACTGTCCATGCACTTTTCTTGTCAAAGATACTGGAGTGATTTGCCATTTCTTTCTCCAGTGGATTAAGGTGAATAGAAGTTAAGTTACTTGTCCAAGGTCACACAGCTAGTACGTGTCTGAGACCACATTTGAACTCAGGTCTTCCTGACTCCAGGCTCAGTGCTGCATCCACTGGACCATATGTTGAAAATACCATTACATTATCATATTCCAACACTACTTTTCTTCCCAGTTTCCCTATTTTTGTCAAGAGCACCATCATCTTCCCTTCCAGTTACCCAGGATGGCAACCTTGGTATCATCCTTCATTCCTCACTTTCCTTGAACTCATATAGTCGACAACTTGCTAAATCTTTTAGTTTTTACCTCCACATTTCCTACATCTGTTCCCTTTTCTCTACTCACCTGGAGACTACCCTAGTTCAGTCAGGCCCTCCTCACCTCTTGCCTGGACAATTGCAATAGCCTCCTAAAATTAGTCTCCGTGTCTACACCTCTCCAGCCCCTCCACACAGCTGCCGAAGAGATTTTCCTAAGGTACGGGTGTGATCACGTTCAGTTCCCTGCTCAATAAGCCTCCAATAGCTCCCTATTCTTTCGAAGATAAAATATTGTTTCATTTTTATCTTATCCTGTTTTATTTCTATTTTGTGCATATTTTATAATTCACATAATTTTATTCCTATTGTAGTATATGTATATAATTTGTAAATAAGTAAATATATACATATGGGTGGTGCTCAGATTTTTTTACTGATAGGGGTTCATCATCAAAAAAGTTTGGAGACCACTGTCCTGGGCAGCTCTCAAAGACTATGCATTGTAGATCAGATGCTAACCTGGAAAAGGGGCTTTCCTTTATGGGAATTCCTTACATCAGTGAAATCACAGGGGTCTGATAAAACAAAATTGGTGTATATCATCAATGTGTTTCCGATACTATTAGAATAAAGGGTTTCTACCCTCAAAAATATTATAATTGAGGTTTGTCATGCTCATAATTTTTAAAAAATTGATTTTTCAAAAAAAATTTTTAAAAGCGTACTACAATTGAGGCAGCTATGCAGTGCAATGGAAAAGAGTGTTGGAGACAGGAAGACCCAAATTCAAATCCTGCTTCATACAGCTACTAGCTGTGTGACCTTGGGCAAGACACTTCTCTCTTATCCTCCATTTCCTCATCTATAAAATGGGTAGTAATGGCACCTACTTTATAGGATTAGGATCAAATGAAAATAACAGATGTAAAGCACTTTGCAAATCTTAAAGTACTGGATAAATGAACCAGATATGTATACACTGAACAGGAAGTTATTGTACAAGCTGTTCACTCAAGTGCCGAGAATAACTTTAGTAAGGGAGTGATTGAAATGGGGCAGAAGAAGGCTGATAAAATAGCAGGTCTTCGTCTTCTACAAGTGGACTTGAAAATAAGAAACTGTTCTCTCATGGAAGTCCCTCCATTACCTCTCTGCAGTTAGAGATATTTTGCCTTAATCTAGTTAAGTTTGTGACCAGTACTTTGCAAAACTTGAGATGTTAATTATATAAATGTTAATTATTATTGTTGTTGTTATTGTAAAATTCTTTTTTTTTTCTTTAAAAACATATCCACCAGGAAGACATCTGGTTTTCCAGATTCTAGGACTCCTCTCTATGCCACATGGACATTATCCACCTCTTCAGTTTCATCACAAGGGAGTATCTCAGACAATGATCCCAGACAAGGCCATCCCTTTAAATCAGTCTTTGTGCCAACAGCTGTAGTCAACCCAGTAAGAAACACAGGTGGACAAGGAAACTTCGGACAGACTTCTCTTCGGAAAGTACGGAGCAGCATGAGAAAAAGTGAGTGATGAGGTAGAACAGAAGTTCTCAAACATTTTTGATCTTAGGAGATACCTTTGCACTCTCAAAAATTATTGAGGACCCTCTAGAGAGCTTTTATTTATGTAAGTTATAGCTATTGATATTTACTGGATTAAGAATGAAAACTGATAAATGTTTAAAATATTGATTTTAAAAACAATAATAATTCTGTTACATGTCAAATAACATTGCTTAATAAAAGAACAGGTATATTCAAAAAATAGTGAGAAAAGAGTGGCATTGTTTGACATTTTTGCAAACCTCTTTCAAAGTCTGGCTTAATAGAAGACAACTGGATTCTCCTCTCTGCTTCTGTATTCAGTTTTTTTGCAATATATTGTTTTTAGTTGAAGTATATGAAGAAAATCTGGTCTCACACAGATATGGAGTTGGAAAAGGAGGAGTATTTTAATAGGCAAATAACATCTTAGAATTATTATGAAAAGTTTTTGCCTTAAAGACCTTCCAAAATGGTCTAGGAGACTCCAAGGGGTCCAAGGACCCCTGATGTAGAAGAACATTTGTCCTGAACTAAGAGATGGGTGAAATTGTCTTTAAGTTATGACTTAAAGCAATTTTTCAAAATAAGAGGTGTGGTATTTAACTGAACCACTGAATATATTTTGCCTCACAAAAACTCAGTTGGGTCATTGGTGGGATTTGGTTTTTGTTTGTTTGATTTGAGACAATCTAGCCTGAGTCAAACATTACATAACAAATACTAAGATGAGTGGTGTGCTGGTAAATGTTTAACAACTAGCTTTCCAATTGTTAGCCATTTACAAGCACATCACTGGTCCTAGATTTGTGTAATGTTTGACCCAGGCTAGATTGCCTCAAAAAATAAAAAACAAAAACAAAAAGAAAAAACTGTACCACCGACCCAACTCACACTCACACACACACACACACACACACACACACACACACACACACACATACATACTGGATACATTAATATATGGGTATACACACACATATGCTGGATACACTTTGAGTTTAATCTGCATTATTATATTTTCTCCTTTACTTTCTTCAGTCTAGACGATCAACATAATAACAGATCAAGCCCTAATTGATAGTATTTGTCAATTTCTAAAATGTAAGTGCTCACATTGAAAACTTAACAATCAGCTCTTGAGAACCTCTTAGAGCTGGCTTCAGGACATCCCTGGAACTCTCCTGGATGACCCTCAGTGGCATTTACCCCATCAGTTTTCCAGATTAAGGATCTGAAACCTTCCATAAGTTTGGACTGCATGTTGGCCTGCCAAATCCCACAATACCACCTTTTGTGCCTTTGTCCAGATAAACAAAGATTGAGTTAGTAGCAGTGCAAACAGGTTAGTGCAATAAACTGAAGCCTGATGTGAACTTTGGTTTGAGATCCTTGGTCTCCATGACAGCCAGGCTCTTTCCTTATGCTGGACCCCTTGGCCTTCTATAGAATTAGGGAGAAGATTCTGGAAGAACAAATGTAATCTATAAATGTAACCATTCCACTTGTTTTTTAACTGGGCCCCTGGAATCCCTGCTGATTGGTTAAACATGAAAATGCAGTAGAACTAACTATCCAGAGCAAGCAGGGGTTTTACTTTCCTGTGAATCAGGGGAATCGTGACCTAGCAGACCCCAAAAAATCATTTCACCCTCAAACATGTCAGCTTCGTATTGTCAGCCTATCCAATGTGTAAACATGTGTAGTGTTGAGATATTAATAGCATATGGATGCAGAGAATTTTTCACGCCCTTGGGCAATCAACATATTTAAAAATTCATGTCTTCTTTCTGGTACTCTAATTTCCTTGATGCTCTGTTTCTTTTTTGTTTTGTTTTTTATCCTTAAAGATTTTTTAAAAATATCTAAACATGGAATTTTAGGGGCTATAGATATTAATTGGATCAAGTAAAAATTTTAATTTTTCACTATAAATAACAACTTTAAAAAAGCACTTTGTATCAGAAGGGGCTGAGCCTCCAAGGTTTTTGCTTTTCTGACCCTTACAAAATTGAACTGTCAATCCCCTGAGCAAAAAAATGGCCAGAAAACTGAGTTCAATTCCCAAAACACTGCATCATAATCAAAGAGGGGAAGGCAGAATATGTGTGTGAATGACAGCTAGTTCGCTCACAAAAGCCGAGAGCTCCAATGGTGTTTAGCCACTGGTCTGCCTTTGTTCGATCAATCAATCAGTAAACATTTATTAAGTGCCTAATAAAGTGCCAAGTGTTGTGGTAAGCACAAGGGAATACAAAAAGAGGCAGAAGACAGACCCTGCCCTTAAAGAGCTTACAATAGGAAGAAACAGTTGGGACCTAGGCCTGAGCCACCGTGTGTGGAATGCAGGTAACTGATTCTAAAATTTCTCATTGGGGAATAATAATAGCTAAAGTCCCTTCCAGGTGAAAGCATCTTGGTTCCAAAGCCTTAAATGCTGTGGCACCCAATGAGAGACAAAGTCATAAGGTTAAAAAAGCAAGCGTCTTCTAGGAGTTCCCAGAAATAAATGCCTGACTTCCCCTTTAGCTTGCAAAACAAAAAGCCTCAGGCCTCAACCTGACAACCTCAAGGAAACCTGTATGTTTTAAAGTTGCTATAACAAAATCAGAAGTGTATTTCCCCCATTAGAATGCATATCTTTTGGCCTGTGTGAATTGAAAAGGTAGCACTAGTCCTTTCTCTAGTACAGGACTCAATGTTTTCAATTTCCAAAACACCTTGATATGATCCCTTACTGTTGTTCAGTCGTGTCTGACTCTTTGTGACCCCATGGACTTGTCCATGGAGTTTTCTTAGCGAAGATACTGAAGTGGTTTGCCATTTCCATCTGTGATGTGTCCCCATTTTACAGATGAGGAACTGAAGCAAATAGGGGTTAAGTGACTTGCCCAGGGTCACATAGCTACCAAGTGTCAAGGGTGTTTTTGAACTCAGATCTTCCTGAGTCCAGGTTCGGTGGTCTATCCGCTGCAGCACCTAACTGCCCTATTATGATCCTACTATCTCCCAAATCCCAATTTACTTCTGCCCCTCCACCAAAAAATAATACCTTCTGATCTTGTCACCATGTGTCTGGTGAAAGGCATCTCTCATCCTTATTATCATAATGATGTATCTTAAAATCGAGAAGGGAGGAGAGGGAGGGAGGAGAGAGAGAATCTAAGTTTTGGACAAGGTCAGCTTGACCTGCCTGCTTAATCTCTTGGCCTCTCATTTCCTCATCTGTAAAATGAGGGGGTTGGTCTAAATGACTTCTAAGGTCTCTTCAATTTCTAACTACTGTGATCTTATGATCTCAGACCCCATGGGGCTAGCCTGCTTGTTGCTATCACCATCAGCAAATAACTGCTCAGAGTTCTGCACCTAATGCAGTAGAAAAAGTATTAGATTTGAAGTCAGAGGACCTGGGTTCAGATTTCCATTTCTGCTATATATGACACCAGTAAACCATTCTGGGCCTCTCATTTGTTAGATGAAAGGGGATTGCACTTTTGTTGTTGAGTCATTTCAATTTTGTCTGACTCTCTGTGCCCTATTTGGTGTTTTTGCAGCAAAGATACTAGAGTGGTTTGCCATTTCCTTCTCTAGCTCATTTTGAAGATGACAAAACTGAGGCAAACAGGGATAAGTGATTTGCCCAGGGATTGTACTAGCTAAGCTTTAGAAAAGGTCTTTTCTGATTAAATCTGTCATCCAATATAGGTCTTATCATGGCCTAACTCCCTAATCTGAGGGCAGCTAGGTAGTGCAGTAGGTAGAATACTGGCCCTGTAGTCAGGAGGACTCATCATCCTGAGTTCAAATCTGGCCTCCGATACTAGCTGTGTGATGCTGGGCAAGTCATTTCACCCTGTTTGCCTCAGTTTCCTCATATGTAAAATGAGTTGGAGAAGGAAATGACAAACCACTCCAGCCTCTTTATGAAGAAAACCCCAAAATGAAATCATGAAGAGTTAGACACAACTGAAACAACCAAACAACAACAAAATATAGGTTTCATCATGCCCTAACTCCCTAATTTGAGAAACAAAGAAACACTGCCCTCAAAACAATGTCAGTATCTAAAAATATACTGCCTGTACTGGGTATAAAACTGGAACGTGAGCATAGACCTTTGAGCGATCCTGAGAGAATGCATATGATTCATATTGGAAAAGCACTGCAGTGTTCCAGGATATTGCAGAATATTGTTACTTGTGATAGGAATTCCAGATATGAACTTGAGCCTGACAAAAGCAACTGGACCCCTCTGTAACTGATATATAAATCATCTTACTTTCCAGATGGATCACTTCAGAGACCATCCCTGTCTGGGGCCCCGAGTGCCATTGTTGGTTCTCTCAGGCGGACCCCAACAGTTTCAGTTCGAACCCATCCATTCACATCTTATCAGTCAAAATCCACGCCTCCGCCACCTCCAACTGCCGCTGTGATTGAGGTTGGTACAAGGTCTTCTCCAACCAGTGAGCCTGCCATCATTTTTGGAAGCAGAGGCACTGATAGCAAGATCCATTCAGCCGCCAGCTCCATCATTGTGGAAACCAAAGAAGTCCCAGTCAAGAGTGAACCCCCCATAAAACCACCTGCATCAGCTCCACCATCCATCCTAGTGAAACCAGAGAACACCAAAGCTGGCACTGAAAAGGTAGGTGTGGAGCCCTCACAAGGAGGGGGATGTCTGGCCTTTGGGACCAAAATTTTTCACTTAGAACATATTCTGACAGGATCGACATTTGAATATCAGCCAGAGATGACTATCCCATGAGTTTACTTTTCATAACAACATGGTACATTGCTGTTCCCTGAATTAGTCAATGCAGAGTCACAGAACTGGAGGTGACCTCCCAGGCTAACTTATCCAACGTATACCCACGCAGGGATTCCCTCTTCATCATACCCTACAAGTGGTCAGTCCACCCTTTGCTTGAAGATGTCCAGTGAGAGGGAACCCACGACCTCCTGAGGAAACCAGTTCTGCTTTTGGATAGCTCTGATGATTAGGACGTTCTTCTTTACATACAGCCTACATTTGCTTCTTTGCGGGGAGAATGGACTCATTGTACCTAATTGTGCCATCCAGAGTCTAGGGAAATAAGTGTGATCCCTCTTCCCCTAATCACTCTTCAGTTACTTGAAGACAACTATCATGTTCTCCTTCCATCTTCTCTTCTTTAGGTATAACTATCAACCAATACATATTTATCTAGCACCTACTGAATGCCGGTCACTAGATACTTGGGATACAGTTACAAAACTGAGATAGGCCCTGCCCTGAAGGTATTTATATTCTACAAGGGGAATGTAATATGTTCATAGATAAGTAAATGTAAGATATATAAAAAATAAATACAGGGCAGCTAGGTGGTTCAGTGGCTAGAGTGTCAGCCCAGGAGTTAGGAAGACCTGAGTTCAAATGCGATCTCAGATACTTATTAGCTGTGTGACCTTGAGGAAGTCACTTACCCCTGATTGCCTCCAAATAAAATAAAATAAAATAAAATAAAATACACTGTAATGGGAACCACTAACTACGGGAAGAAAAGGCCTCTTGAAAGAAAGGCTGCTTGACCTGAGCCTTAAAGGTTCCATGACATGGAGATGAAGGAGAACATTCCAGACATTAGGGACAGCCTGTGCAAAGGTGCAGAGGTGGCAGAGAGAAAGTAATGCATGAGAAGAGTAAAAAGGTCAGTTTGGAGGAACAGAGAGTGAATGAAGAGGAGTAACATTTAATGAACTTGGAAAGAAAGGCTGAGAGTCAGATTGTGAAGGGCTTTAAATGTCAAAACGAGGAATTTGAATTTTATCCTTTGGGCAATAGGAAACCACTAAAACGTCTTAATTGGTAGAGTATAATGAGGAGACCTGCATTTTAGGAATATTAATTTGGCAGCTGTGTGGAGGATGGATTGTAGAGAACAATAAGTAGATGGAGGGGGGGAACCATTTAGGATCCTATTGCAATAGTCTAGCCAAGAAGTAATGAGGGCCTGGGCTAGGTTAGGGTGGTAAAAGGCATGAACTCAAAACCCTTCACCAAAACCCTTCACCTCATCTGTATTCTTCCTAAAATGTGGCATCTAGAGGTAAATCCAATGCACCAAATGAGTCTGACCGAGTCTGAGTACAGCTAAGTTGTTGTTGTTCATTCATTTTAATCATCTCCAACTCTTTATGACCCAATTTGGAGTTTTCTTGGCAAAAATATTGGATTTGCCATTTTCTTTTCCAGCTCATTTTTACAGATGAGGAAACTGAGGCAAACAGGGTTAAGTGACTTGCACAGGATCACACAGCTTGTAAGTGTCTGAGGCCAGATTTGAACTCAGAGAAAGGAGTCTTCCTTACTCCAGGCCTGGCACTCTATGCACTCCGTCACCTAGCTGCCCTTCCCACCCCGCAAAAAAATTTTTTTAGTCATTTTCAGTCATGTTTGACTCTTTGTGACCCCATTTGGGGGTTTTCTTGGCAGAGATACTGGAGTGGTTTTCCGTTTTCTTCTCCAGCTCATTTTACAGATGAGGAAACTGAAGCAAACAGGGTTAAGTGACTTGCCCAGGATCATACAGTTATATATGTCTGAGGGCAAATTTGAATTCAGGTCTTACATTCTATCTACTGAGCCACCTAGCTGCCCAGAAAGCCATGGTCCTCATAAGTAAAGGGGATCAAGAAAAGAAATATCACCTCCTTATTCTTGGAAGCAAGGCTTTTTAAAATGCAGGCTAAACATTGAATTATTATCTGCCATGTACTGTTGGTTCATATTAAATATGTATTTCAGTAAGTACCTAGGTCTACTTAAAAAAAAATGCTGTATAGCCATGCTTCTCCCATCTTATACGTGTGATATCGATTTTTTAACCCAAAGGTGACTTTGCATTTGTCTCCAATAACATTCAACTTATTCGATCTGGCTCAATGTTCTAGTTTGTCAGTCGTTTGGGATCCTGATTCTGTCATCCTTTGTGTTAGCTATCACTCTCCAGCTTTGTGCATTCTGCAAATTTGTTAAGTGTGCCACCTATGCTTTATCCAAATCATTTATTAAAATATCAAAAAACACAGGGCCAAGCACAGATCCCTGCGTCAGTGCACTAGAGGCTTCTTTTCAAGTTGGCATTAAGCCACTAATGACTACTCTTTGAATCTTGCCATTACACCAGTTCTGAATCCATCTCTAACTGTTCCAGCATCTATCTTATATTGTTCCATCTTTTCTAAAAGAATACATTGGGGCAGCTAGATGGCACAGTGGATAGAGCAGTGGCCCTGGATTCAGGAAGACCTAAGTTCAAATCTGGCCTCAGCTACTTGACACTTAGTAGCTATGTGACCCTGGGCAAGTCACTTCACCTCATTGCCTCGCCAAAAAAAAAAAAAAAAAAAGATTTTGGGGCAGCTAGGTTGCATAGTGGTTAGAGCACCGGCCCTGGAGTCAGGAGGACCTGAGTTCAAATGTGGCCTCAGACACATGATACTGTCTAGCTGTGTGACCCTGGGCAAATCACTTAACCCCAATTGCCTCACCAAAATAAAATAAAATAAAATAAAATAAAAGGATACATTGAGAGATTTTATCAAATGTTTTGCTCAAATCTAAGTAAATTCTATTTCATAAGATCTACAGAATTCCTCTGATCCCACTAATCTAATAATACTGTCAAAAAAGGAAATAAAGAACATTTAGCATGCCTTTTTCATGATGAAGCCATGCTGACTTTTTGTGATGATGGCTTCCTTTTCCATATGTTCAGTTATCATCCTTCCATTCTAGAATTTTCTAGGAATCAAAGTCAAGTTCACTAGCCTATAATTTGCAAATATCATTTCCTTCCCCTTTTTAAAAATTGGGATACCTTTTCCCCATTTTCCAGTCCTATGAAAGTTTCATGTAAATTCTCTTTCTTCATAGTTTCTCAAAGATCACTGATAATGTGACTCAGTAATCATGTCCACCAGGTCTTTTTGTACCTAAGGACACATCCGGACCAGAGGACTTGAACTTATCAAGAGTAGCTGGCGGCTATCTTACAATCTTATTTAATCATGGGTATCTCTTCCCCATAAAAAGCCATATTTGTTAAATAGATAAGTGAAATAACCAGTCATTTCTCTTTCCTCGGTTGTCACTGTCCTATCCATATAGATCACTTCTCCAATCCCTTTTTTTGACACTCCTCTTAACTCAATATAGTTGGGGGTTTTTTTATTGCTTTTTTTGATAAGGCAGTTGGAATTAAGTGACTTGCCCAGGGTCACACAGCTTGTAAGTGTCAAATGTCTGAGATCGGATTTGAACTCAGGTCCTCCTGACTCCAGGACCAGTGCTCTGTCCACTGCACCACTTAGCTGCCCCCCCGACTGTAGTTTTTTTAAGCCCTTTTTTGTTGGTCCTTAGCTTTTCTAACCAGTCTCAACTTTGGCACTCCCAACACTCTTCACGTGGGGCCATGCAGTGCTTTTATATTTACTTGCTGTTATTTGCCCTTATGTCTGTCTTCTATGTTTGTCTTTTTTTTTGGAGGGGGGGTGAGGCAGTTGGGGTTAAGTGACTTGCCCACGCAGCTAGTAAGTGTCAAGTGTCTGGTCTGAGACTGGATTTGAACTCAGGTCCTCCTGACTTCAGGGAGGGTGCTCTATCCACTGCGCCACCTAGCTGCCTCTATGCTTCTCTTTTAAAGATGTCAGTTGGTTCCCTATGTATCTATCTGCATGAACTCAGTTAGTTGTTAAGATGTTAAGATGAAAGAGTCCAAAGATGCCATAAAGGTCTAGTCTATTCCCTATATTAAGTATTAGGAAACTGAAACCCTAGAGAATTTAAGTAAGTAGGTCTCTTAATCCCCAAGGCACTGCTCTTTTCATTAGCAGTGAGAAGAATTAGAAACAATAATAACTCATATCTATAGGCTTACAAAGCACATTCCTCATAACATCTCTGTGTGGTATATGGACAGCTAGGTGGTGCAGTGTTTAGAGTGCCAGGCCTGAAGTCAGAAGACTCATCTTCATGAGTTCAAATCTGGCCTCAGACACTTACTAGCTGTGTGACCCTGGGCAAGTCACTTAACCCTGTTTGCCTCAGTTTCCTCATCTGTAAAATGAACTGGAGAAAGAAATGACAAACTGCTCTAATATCTTTGCCAAATGGGGTCAGGAAGAGTCAGACATGACTGAAACAGCTGAACAGTAACAATCACAAAAATGGTACATAAAGTAAATATTATTCCTACTGTATAAATGTGGATAGCAGGTTTCAGAGAGATTAAGTGACTTCCTCAGGGCCACACAACTATTAAGTGTTGGAATTGGGACAGAAACTCAGGCCTTCTTAATTCTTACTCTGCCACTTTCCTTTATTTCAGCTAATAATGAGTAATAGCATGTGCATGTCAGTTAGGCAGTAAGCATTTATTTATGTGCTTACTATGTGCCAGGCACTGGGCCTTATAAGGTCAGGAGATGCAGTGAAGGGCAGAAACATAGTTCCTGCCTTCAGGAAGCTCACATTCTAATGGATGTGACATGCAGATTTAGACAGACAGATAGATAGAATAGATAATATATAGACATACTTATATACTAATAGGCAATAACTGTATGTACATATGTGTGTGTTCAAGATACAGACAGAATAAATAAATAGAAAGCAATCTCCGAAGGAAGGCACTGGCAGCAAAGGGACCACGAAAGACCTCCTGCAGAAAATGGGATTTGAAAAAAAAAATCTTTAAAAATTAAAAAAAGAAAAAAAGAAAAAAAAATCTTGAGGGAAGGTAGGAGATGGAGATTAGGAAGAAGGGCATTCCAGACATGGAGGAAAATCAATGAAAAGAAATAGAATATTGTGTGTTAGGAACAACAAGTAGGGGCCAGTTTAACTAAATTGTAGAATGCATGGAAACAATTGTAGGACTGGAAAAATAAGAAAGAGCCAGGTTGTGAGGACTTTCTGTATTTTTCAGAGTTCTCTTTGTTATTATTTGTTGTTATTATTTGTCCTTCGTTTCTCAAAAAGGACCATGACATCATGGAGTGACATCTAGCACTAAATCCAGTGCCCGGCACATGTTATGTTGCTTTTCAGTCATTTCAAATGTGTCTGGCTCTTCATGACCCCATTTAAGGTTTTCTTGGCAAAGACACTGGAGTGGTTTGCCATTTCCTTCTCCAGCTCATTTTACAGATGAGTAAACTGAGGCAAACAGGGTTAAGTGACTTGCCCAGGGTCACACAGCTAGTAAGTGTCTGAGGCCACATTTGAACTCAGTAAGATGAGTCTTCTCTACTCCAGGCCCAGTGTCTATCCCCTACACCACCTAACTGCCCTGCCTGGCACATACATAGTAAGTATTTATTACTGTTCAGGGATTGATTCATTGGTTGATACATAATTTCCCTTAATTTTTATGACAAACCAGAGATGCATACTAAGGCACTTCATTTTACAGATGGGCTACCAAGAAACAGAATTTAAATATTTTGTCAAGGTCACATAAATAGTTATGAGAGAGTCAGGACTAGAAGCCAGGTCTGCTAGTCAAGAATTCTTCCAACTGAACTTCTTAGGATTAGTTCATTTGTTAAAGACAAATTATTTGTGCTTTCCTAATAACCTGGGAGAGTGAAAGAAAAGGTAGACGAGGTTATAAGGGGGTAGAATTAGTAAATAATATGGAAGGTTATACCACTGACTATTTTTCAGGCTAATGAAGCCAGGAAAATTTCCTTATCTACTAGTAAACTTACATGAGAAAGATTCCTGCCAAAGTGCTGTTTCAAGGAAAATGACCCAAGCTTCATTTAGTGAAGTGTGTGTGTGTGTGTGTGTGTGTGTGTGTTTGCATGCATGCACTTTTGTGTCTTATGTCCTCTGTGGGAGGCAGCATGCTATAGTGGATAGAGTCCTTGACTTGAAGTCAGGAAAACCTGGGCTCAGATCCCAGTTTTGATACTTAACTAACTGTGTTACTAACCATGGGTAAATCCTTTACTCTCCCTGAGCCTCAGTTTTTTCATCTATAAATGGGAATGATAGTGCTGCTGTGAGGCTCAAGTGAGATACTATATGTAAAGCACTTTGTCTAAAGCACCAAATCATCTGTCCACCTCGGTTAAGTAAGAAATTGTGCCAAGGACACAGGAAAATCAGAATTTATTTTATTCAATTTGGTTGCCAGAGTGACCTGTCTTAGGGACTTAGGAAGACTAAAATATTAGTAAGGACAGTTAAAGAATTGAACATGTACAAAACTAAATAAACACACTGTGTTCATTTCTGCCTCCATGACTTTTTTTCCATGCTATTCCTTGATGATTAGAATGCCTTCCTCTCTGCCAGCTGCCTGCTAACCCTATCCTTCAAGGTCCAACTAGAGTACCACTTCTGCCATAAAGCCTCTGTAGCTGCTACCTGAAGAGCCTTCAGTGGCCTCCTCCTCTTCTGAAAAAAGGGCATTATAGTCACTGCCTCCTGAATTATAATAATTGCATTGGACCACGAAGTTCAGAGTAGTTCAGGCCCTGGCAGGCAACTGTATCATGAGACCTGGCCATTAGTTATAGCCACTTCCCTTCAGACACAGGAATGTATGCATGAAAGGGAATGGGGGTGGAGGGATGGAGACACAAACATTAAGTACATACAGTTATCCCTTCCACATCATGACTTTCTCCATCTCAGTTTCCATATAATTGGGGTTGGCATAACAAATTAAATGGGAATTTTGGGGGAGTTTTGCAGAAGTCGCAGACAACATGTGAAGGCTATCAGACGACAGAGCCTATGATCAAATACCTAGCCCAAACTTTATAATAAAGTACTGTAAACACCCATAAAAGAAAAAAAAAATTCAGACTTCTCCTCTGATATGAAGAGAGAGCCAAAAAATTTTATGTGGATTTTCCCGGATCACAGGGGTGCCACACCCCTAACCCCCATGATGTGGAAGGAATGACTGTATTATGTGCAAAACACTATATTAAATTCTGAGGATAATAAAAGAAAAGTGAAGACAGCTCGTATTCTGTAGGAGCTCACCTTCTAATGGTAGACACAGCACATATGGGAGATTTCAGCTGCAAGTTAATGCTCCATCATCTTTGAAGTCATTGCCATTGACAAAACTCTGTCAGTGAGTACTTAGTGAACACCTACTCAGCTGTGCAGCACTATGGTAATGGGGTGTATATATAAGAGTATAACCTCTGGCCTTGAGGAGTTTACCCTCTAAATGTGGAGATAATACAGGAAAGAGATAGAGGAGAGAGGATGAGCCATGATAACTTATCAGGTCAGCTCAGAGGAGAAGGAAATTAATTGAAAGTCAGCTTGTGGAGAAGACAATACATGAACTAAGTTTTAAAGGGAAGAGGATTCCAAAGGGCAGAGATCAAAGAGTGAATAACAGCGACTGCCTATTTGAATGGACAGAGATAGGGGAAGAGACAGAGATCAAGAAATAACTGGTGATCCAGTTTGGTTGGAATGTAAAGTAAGCCAGGGCCATCCTCTGGGCCACACAGCCCATCCACCCTAACCACTCCCAGAATCCTTGTCCTCTGTACCTCATGTAGGTTTGTTTCATCAAAGCAAAGGTCTTCAGGAAGCAGTCAGAACTCCAGGCCTTCAGTGGATCTGTAGAATGTAAGCTCCTTGAGGGAAGACACTATTAAGTTTTTGTCTTCAGTTGAATTATTAAATTGGGTACACTCTCCACTGTTATAGATCCATTCTTATCCTGTGTGAATCTTATCCATGCCCTCACATAAATCCTCAGAAAAGGAGTGACTCAATCAATAAATAAGTATTTATTAAGACTATGTGTCAGGCCCTGGGGATACCAGGGATACCAGAAGTGAAACTATTCTGGCTTTCAAGTAGCTTACATACTGTTGGAGGATCTTGAGCTTTGCCTTTAGGAATTTTAATATTTCATGGGTATTATTGCAGCACCAAGGCTGTCCGCTCTGTGATGTTCTCACTCTCAAGAAGTGACTGGCCTACATTTTCTGACTGTATTTCCCAAGAGATATCTTCAAGCAATCTTTACATGGAGATTGGATTTCAGGAATATAGAGAGGATTTATGCTCAGGTGCAGGTTGGAATAAGTGACTCTGAGAACCCTTACAATTCTGAGCTTCTTTGCTTTTCAAGTCTTTTCATTCCAAATGAAAGTTTCTATAAAAGGAGTTTGGATAAATAATTTCATATTTTGGACTAGTAGTTAGCATTTCCACAAAGTATTTAGGCTTGCAAAGCACTCATTTGCTCCTCGTGACAACCCTGTGAGACAGGGGCTATGATTATCTCCATTTTACAGATGAAGTAACTGAGGCTCAGAGAGGTTGAGTGACGTATTCAGGGTCATACAACTGGTAAGTATCTGAGGCAGAATTAGAACTCAAGTCGTTCTGGCACCATGTCCAGCACTCTACCCACTACATAACCTAGCTGCATCTTGGATGAATTGGTAGGGTTCAGGTGAGGTAGAGCGCCAAACAGGATGTACAACACCAAAAAATCCCCAGGGACAGAAATGAACAGAGTTTATTTACGGAGTTTCTATTTTGCTTATATCCTACATTTCTCCAACTCACAAGTAATCTTTTGTTCTCTCTTTTATTACAGCAAGTCAAAACAGTGAGATTTCAAACCTATAGCCCTCCTCCACCCAAACACCACAGCTTCCATTCTACCTCTGGTAAACCTGAGCCGGTGGCCATCTCCAAAGGATCCCAGGCAGAAACAGGCCCTTTGTGCCAAGAGATGACAACCTTATTTGTCCATCGAGGTGGATCCCATTCTGGGCAACAGGCAGACCACAGGAGAAAACCAAAGTATTCAAAGCCCCTGACTCCAGTACTCCCTGCCTCTGACATAGCCATCATACCCAGCAAGTGAATCTCTGGTGTGGCTATTCCTAATGCCAAAAGAGGTGAATAATGCTTAAACATTCTGTCTTCACTGTATGCCTCCTGCCTGTCTTTGTGGTCAGATCTGTGCTTTAGGAAAATCATTTTGGTGGCTATGTAAGGGACAGATTAAAGTGGGAAGAGGCTTGGGGCAGGGAGACCAACTAGGAGGCTGTCAATAGTCCGTCATAGATTAAAAGGGTGTCATAGTGATTCTATTTCCAAGAGTCCTACCTCTTTTTGCGCCTTTCTAGAGAGCCCTGAAGCCCTGCCCCAGGACCATTTCTGTCCTCTTCCTGGAAGAATAAAAGGGAAAATGCAGGTTTCTGTTGTGTGCTGGCTTGTCTCTCTTCCATGCAGGTATTGTTCTGCCTGGAAATGGAGACTCACTATACAAACACAGTCAGTATTCTCTGTCCTCAAAAAAATATAAGAAGGGGAAGGGGGGGGTCTTACTTAATTTCAAAAAGATAATGCCACTTTGCACTATTATGACACTTACCACTTTTCAAAATACTTTAATATACATAGCTCTGGAAGGCAAGGGTATAGGCATTTTTTGTTTCCCAATTAGCAAATTAAGAAACTGTGGCCCAGATATGTTAAGTGATTGCTAGTTAGCGGCTGATACAAAGAGGGAAGGAAGGAAGGGAGGAAAGAAGGAAGGAAGGAAGGAAGAAAGAAAGGAAGGAAGGAAGGAAGGAGGTGATAGGAAGTAGGAGTAGTTCCAATGGCTGTTAGGGAAGGAGGGATGTAGTCTGCAGTGAGAGAAGGGAGAAGGGAATAGTCACTTGGTCACAGTACTGAGGGTAGTAGAAAATGGAAGGAGATAAAGGAGGTGATACAGTCCATGCCAGACATGTGAAAAGTCTTGTTAAATTGTTCAATTAATATGGAGGCTAAATCTGATAACCCAGATTATTGAGCCAGAGAAACATGGTGAAGGCTTTATATTAACAGTAGGTTTAATTATTATTATTTAGCATTTATTGAGCCCCAAACACTGTGGGTATTTGGTAAAATGGTATTTGAGGGTGAATTTGGGTGCTATGAAAAACATAGAATTAAAGTAGCCCCTGCGCATTAGACTCACCATGTAAATTAGCCCTTGGAGATTTCTTGATCGAAAACACCCTGTAAGTCTTAGAGTGTTTGCTTACTGTACCCAAACATACATTTAGCAAGTTGAGATACAAAGATATTTCCAGATCCTGAACAGGCAGGGCCAGGACATTAATTCTCTCAGGGAAGAGACGCATAAAATGTTCAAGACGAAGGCCTTCTCTTAATAGAACTGTCTATGGCTGTACAGCCCCACCCCAAAACAATCCAGGAGAAAAGAAAATAAGAAAAAAAAGAGCAAAAACACCTAAATCCTCTGGCTGTTTGGCTTGCATTACACTAAACACTCAATTCAACTGATTTTTTAAAATTTATTTTTGTTAAAGTGACGAAATTGACTGTCCTGGTGAAAGTACAGCTAATGTCTTCCAAACTAATCATATAACAACATCCTACAGTGCAACTTCTAGCAGGAATGCATCATCCTAGTAAACTTTATATGAAGGATAGTGTTAGAGGGGGGTGAGGAAGCAGTTTTCCAATCACCCCACCCTCAGACTTACCTTCTGTGTATGAGTTATGGGTAGGTCTACAGTGATCTCTGATATACCAAAGATATTTCATCTCAGCACAACCTGGCAAGGCCCTGAGTTTTGTTGGTTTCTCTTCTCTAAGCATGCAGTTAACTAACCCCTTCATCTGATCGTATTTAAAAATAGACTGAAGATACTAGGGGTTTTTGCCATTTCCTTCTCCAGCTCATTTTACAAATGAGGAAATTGAGACAAACAAGGTTAAGTGACTTGCCCAGGGTCACACAGCTAGTAAGTATCTGAGGCCAGATTTGAACTTAGGAAAATGAATCTTCCTGACTTCAGGCCTGGAACTCTATCCACTGTACCACGTAGCTGCCCAAGAAAAGTTAGACAACGGGGCAGCTACGTGGCGCAGTGGATAGAGTGCCGACCCTGGGGTCAGGAGGACCTGAGTTCAAATCCGGTCTCAGACCAGACAATTGACACTTACTAGCTGTGTGTCCCTGGGCAAGTCACTTAACCCCATTGCCTAGCCAACAAAAATAAATGTTAGACAAGCCCCCAAATATCCTCTCCCATTAAGTTGTTTTCAAGTAAGTTCTTTGATTCTATCGAACACCCATTTATTAAGGACCTCAGCTATATGGTAAGTGCTGAAGATGCCAATATGGATAGAACCTTGATCAGCCTCTGAAGAAGTTTGCATTTCAAGGGGAGAGGAGGGAAGAGAGAAATACATGTAATTATAATTTAAAGATTATTATAAATGCAAGAGGTCTAGCCAAAGGACTTCATCCTCTTTAGGCTCAGCTTTGGCTCTGGTTAAAAAGCAAATATCTCCTGGAAAGAGAGGTAATGTTTGAACCTGTCATTATTTACTTATACTTTGGCTTGTATGAAGAGAGAAAGGGGAGTGAACACAGGTTTTTTGTTGTTGGGTCTGTGTTTGTGTGTGTATGTGTGTAGGAAAAAGGAGAGAGGGCAAGAGGGCACAGAGTACTAGAGAGGGAAGGCCCTATGGGAGAAAAATCCAGCATCTAGGCTCATCTCCCTCACCTACTTTACAATGTTGCCCCAATAGCAGTCTCTGAAAAATGTTTTGTTTCACGAGCTTCTGGATTCTCATTTGAGTCTCGAGAGCTTGTGGGTTGAGCAGCCCCAGTGGCCACTTAGTTTCACAGAAGTCAGGGCTTCTCTCCTGTAATGAACAATAATTTGGAGGGCCAGCACCTGCCTGCTGGAGGTTGGGTACCATTGTCCCTTCAGGCACTCAGGCTTGCAACTTCAGTGTCATCCTTGACTCACTCACTCATTCTCACCCAATCTGTTGCCATCTTGTTTTTACCATCCCAGCATCTCTCAAAGATGTTCCCTTTTCTCCATTCACACAGATACCTCTTCAGTACAGGACTTCGCCTCTCACCTGGTCTATCACAACAGCCTCCTAAATTGGTCTCTCTGCCTCAAGTTTCTCCCTACTCCATTCCATCCTCCAGTCAGCTACCAAAATGATTTTCCTAAAGCATAGATCTGACCCTGTCACTTTCCCCCTACTCAGTAAAATCTAGTGGCTCCCTATTTCATCTAAGATCAAATATAAAATTTTATGTTTGGCATTTAAAGCTCTTCCCAACCAGGTGTCTTCCTGTATTTCCAAATTTGTTACAATTTACTCCTCTAAGATCCAGGTAGCTACACTGGACTATTTGCAGTTCCTGGAACACTCCATCTACTGACGACCATGCCTTTTCATTGACTGTGTCCCATGCTTAGAGTGCCCTGTCTTCTCACCACCAGGTCCCAGCTTCCCTGGCTTTCTCAAGATTCAGCTTAAATGATGCCTTCCAAAAGAGGCCTTTCCTGGTTCCCCCACTCCTTCACTCTGAGACTGCTTTCCACTTATGCTATGTATATGTGTGTGTGTGTATATATACACATATATACACACACACACATATACATACACACACACATATATAATATATATATATATATATAAATATCCTGTCTGTACATAGTTATTTGCATGTTTTTTGCCCCCCTCCATTAGAATATGTGCTCCTTGAGAACTGAGATCGAGTTTTTGTCTCTGTTTGTATTCCCAGCACTTAGCACCATACTGGCATATAGTGCTTAGTAAATGCTTGTTGATTGACTCATTCAGTGTGCTAGGCAGTTCTCAATTATAGTTATCCCTTCCACATTGCGAGGATTAGGGGCAGGGTCCCCCTGCAATCTTGAAAATTCACATGAAGTTTTTTTCTCTTTTTTAATAGGATATTTAGGATACCTTATTGTTAAATTTGGGTTAAGTATTTAGTCATAGGCTCTGTGTCATCTGCTGACCTATGCATGTCCACGAAACTCCCCCAAAATTCACATTTAATTTCTTATGCCAACCTGAATTATATAGAAACCATGATGGGAAAAGTCACAATGTAGAAGGGATAACTGTACTATAAAGTTACTAATGAATTGCCAGCCTGAATCGGCCAAGGGAATTCCTACACCAAAATGTTCCTCCACACCAGTGAAATCATAGGTCCAGATTCCCACCACCACCCCGCCCCACCACACACACCAGAAATTGCAAGGCAAAATATTACTCATTCCATCATGCTGTTCCTGTACAATGAAAAACATAGAAAAGGCTGCGTGCAGAATAGTTTACCAAGTAAGGTCAGTGATCAAGGACTCCCTTCTTCCTCCCACCCCATACGGAGAACTTTAAAGTTAGTTTCAACAAATCTGTCCAGGATGGGTTAGACGGATTTGCATCTGATCACCATGGATTGAACTCGACCTTTCTAAGTGCCATCCATCTTTACTGACTGCTTGCCCTCTGCCTGACAAATAGTTGTAGTCGTGGCTTCAGGCGGCAACTACTATTTCCTTCCTGCTGTTTTAGAGAACAATTTTTTTCAGACATCGTAATGTGTGGGCCTCCTGTAGCCTCACTAGCCCCTCTGGCATAAACTCAGCAGGGGTGAGAGCAATTATGTTTAACAAGATGGGCCAGCATCCCTCTCTTTCCCTTCCCCCGCCTCTTAAAGCACAGACCTGCCCTAGCCCCTCTTTGCCCTAGATGTCTTAGAGCAGCAGTGACAGTCAGAATAGCAAAGGCCTATCAAAGTTGTCCCATTTGTGACCCAAGTGTTTAGTAAACTGGCAGTCGGGAGGGCTTCATCTTTGTTTCTTTGCTTGTTTGGCCAGCAGCTTTGCTGCTACTGGGTCATTTTGCTTATAGCCTGAAGATAAAGACCATTAATTCCTTTGGCTAAGGGGAAGGGGCATTAGATCTCCCTGAACAGCATGTCATGGCAGTTCAGAAGAACTGTGTGGAACCCATTTTGCTGAAAGGATGAAACTGGAAGAATTAACTCAGTAAGTCTTTGCAGCTGCAGGGTGTATTTGGAATGAATCCT